AGGTATAGTGTGTCGCGGAGTTTTTTGTAGATATTTATAAGATCTACAACTAATTAGAACATTTCATAGTTCTATCTTTTATAGTTTAGGCAGCGTACGCAAAATAAGTAACTTTTCTGGTTGATTTTTTACACCTTGTGTCCGAAAAACCCAAATATATTACGGAACCCTATTTATTTCCAAAATAAAATTTAGTCTATGTTACTCGTGGATAATGTAGCTTTCGAATTGTGAAAGAATTTTTGAAATCGGTCCAGTAGTTTTTGAGCCTATTCATTACAACCAAACAAACAAACAAACAAAGTTTTCCTCTTTATAATATTAGTATAGATGATGGGAGTATATCTACTATACGATACTTTTTTCTTTCGATATAAGTACAACACTTACTTTTTCATAGATCTATTAATTACAGTTGTAGGTTATCCGATAATTAATTAAGATCTCCAATATCCCGTGTAACCTCATCTCAGGTACCAAATAGGTCTGAAACCGCAAATTGTCCGCCGTATATTGTGACACTAATTTACAAAGGCCAGTAGTAAATTATTCGACCACACTCGATTTCTCCTGAGACTGCTAAAAGTAATTATGTAAGAAAATTAATTAATTACTAAAGATGAAAAGGTATTTTATTTCTATGTTATGTGTATTAGAGGTATAATATTCCTTCAACAATTTGCAATGAAACATTTTATTTATTTTAATAATGGCTTGTGAAAACATATATGCAAACAGTACCAAAATGCAAATATTCATTTGAATTTTTATGATTTCATTATCAATACAAACTGTAACAATGGGATTTTACAGAAATTTTTCATTAAACATTCTATATTAAGAACCAATAACAATGCAGGCTATGCCCCCATATATGATTTAAAATCATTATTTACACAATATCATTTCATACACTGGTATACGGCCTACCAAACTTAGTGTCGATACCAACTATATCAAACAAGACTTATATTTACTAAATCCATGTTATTCTCCTCAAGACCCAAGTCTTTACATTACGTTCTTGTCTATTCATCATCAGCATTAAAATTTAACCCTTTCAAACAGAACTCCACACAAGGACCTATAAAACCTAATACAAGTCATAAAAGGTACCCATAACTTATCCCTTCGACTTCTATCTTCTCTCATCAGAGGCTTCATATTCAATAACTCAGACATCAGATCTTATCGTAGGCAATTTTCATTAACACAGTTAACTCCTTCAGTTAGTAAATTACTAACCCCTTCGAACGGCTTGGTGAACTATTCCAATTTAAACTGAATGTTTCCTTTCTTGATTACAGAACATTTTAGAATAGATGGGGTATTATTGTGCGTAGACTAGACCAAGTTTCGTCGTTATTGGTTATAGTAAGAATTGTTTGGTATTCAATGAACTAAAGCCTTCTTTGACGTTAGTTTGTTGATTGATTTATGTTTTTGATGTTGATTTATAGTCAGTTAATTAATGAGGTTTTGTGTTGCGATGTTTAATTTGTGAAATGGAGACGTAGCCGATATTTTCGTGTTGATTAAAGGTTTTGGTTGACATTTTAAAGTACAAAATATTAGGTGCGCAACCTTGCCTATACTTACTCAAAATCGTTTGTGATTTCTACTTGAACGAGTAAATAACTATACCTATACTAGCGGACCCGACAGACGTTGCCCTGCATATCCACTTGAATGTATAAACAAAAACTCATTCAAATTAGTTCAGCCGTTTAGGATAATTAACCTAGACACACACTGCAACGCCATCTGCCGGGCTGATGTGTGAATCTAAATCATCCAGGGCGCCACCCAACGTGTACAGAAAAAATCATTTAAATCGGTCAAGCCGTTTAGGAGGAGTTCAATGACATACACACGTACAGCAGAATTATATATAAAGATACATAGACGTAAGCATTCAATACAAATACATATTCTTCCAATAGTGGATTGAGAAAAAAAGATTCAGCGACTTAATTCACAAAAGGTCAAAAGATGGGACACAAAGTAACTGCGAGTAAAGGAAAAAAACTACTTATTTTTCAACTAATATCTTATTCATTAAAGTACATAAAAGTTTTTTCAATCGAAACCTATTGGGAAAGTTTTCTGATTTCTTTCATTGTTTGGAATTTCCAAGTACCTATTCACTTGACTTTCTTTATTTTACGGTCTTTACTAACAAAAGGAGGACACGATGTTCTTTTACTTTTTATTGAAATGCTCCTTTTAAAACCAAAGTGGTCGAGTAACTTCTGTTTTCAATTACAATTTCATCATTACTAAACTTTTAGGAAAATGTAAACTAATCTATACTTACTGCTACAATAAATTCTTTACAAATCTAAAGTTCACATTCTATCTTATCACTTAAAAATATTATATATACAGAAAATATCTTTCTTACATTAAATACAGGAACGATAGGTAAGGCAACCAGTGATTTATTTCTATGTGATTCGGATCGTAGTACCCGCAATCATCGATGTGAGAGTGGCCGGAAATTGGTAGCGCTTGGCCGGACACCGGACTCTCCACCGGACGAAGTTGCGCTGAGAAGATAGCGGTTGTAATAATTTGGTTAGAAATTAATAGCGAATCTAGCTTTGATCACATTTGGGACTGTGGTTAAGGCATGCGGGCTAAAGTGTTCTCGACGTACCCTGTTCAGACCTTTAATCAAATAATCTGGAACTTTGATGATGGTTCAGAAATGGATGGGGAAAAATAGTATAATTTCCAAGGCATCCAAAAACTTTATTAAAAAAAACTTAATGTAGGCTGCGCGACATAGCCGCAACCGCGCACACTGCTCATGAGGAAGAATCCCTCTGTCGGTTCGAAACTAGTAGAGCTTTTCTCAGGAGGTATATTCACGTAAGTAACCCGTGATTTTTAAGTAATTTAGTATATCTCACGATAGTTATTACAAAAACTTAATTTATGTAACAAAAGTTGATATTAAATAATGTTTGACGATTTAGATAACTATGGAAAACTGATATGGAGACTCGACATGAGCTCCTATCGGGTCTAGAAAGGTGACCAAATTGAAATATTGTAGGAGGGTTGAAACAAAAGCTTGAGAC